ATAATTTGACTTTCTTTAATTTCTTGGTATAATGAAAATACGAAGTACAGTATTATCCTTGTTCAATTGAAAAGTCTTATATCATTAAATATGACAGAAGCAGTTACTCGTATTTTGTATGGCATGCACCATAAACTATGTACCATATGTACCCATATTCGACTATACTATTAAATCTTCATCGAACAGTTTACTTATTTCAAAGTACTGTTCTTTGGGACGATAATCCACGGGTATATCCTATGTGGGGTGATAAGATCGGGGCATAGACAATATATTGTTCTTACGAATATATATATATATATATAGTATAGTGAGATTTGCTTTAACTCTGTTTCTGGTGAATATAAAGAAGTAGGGGATTAGTTTTGATTGTGCCACGGGTGAAATACATTGCCACAATTTTTTAGGGATTGGCTTTGATTCTCCGTTTGCAGAAGTAATAACTAAGGCGGTTGGTAGCGCTTTGGAGACTTATAGATATTCGGTAATGATTTTTGCCCGAGTAGAAGAGGGCAGTGTCATCCGCGAAAGGAGCTGGATTAACACATGGACCTATGGAGATGTCGCTCGTGTAGAGCAAGAAAATCAAAGGATAGAGACAGGAGCTCACCCCAAAGTAAAAAAATAGTACTAATATATTATCTAGTGCGGTCTTAGGCCAAATTAGTACAACTGTTTACGTGTATGTACACACGCATGTTTTTATACTGTAACACAACTGGACGTTAACGCACAACATAACACAATTTTGTATCAAAACAAGTGTAATGCACGAAAAAATCCTACCAAAAAAATGAATGCGAATAAAATATTTAAGTGATTCAAATGGACAATTATCAGCTTCTGTTTAATCACAAATGTCCTTGACATGACACCGATGTTTCACGACCGCTGAAGTACACTGAAGAAATTTAATTATTTTTGTCGAATTCAACCTTTAAAGCCAGGATTGATCTCTTCGCAAAAACATTTTAACATTTTGCGATTCTAACAAAAATTAGGTATTTGTGAAAGATTCGGTGAAAGGTCGATTACATGAAGTAATCATTCGCAAACACAAATGACTATACATTTGACAACATGATATCGTTATGAATTATAGAAAAATTCAATTGTCTATTTTTTTCTTAAGTACTTATTATAATATTGTGACTATAGGTGTAAATCTTTCATAAAAATGTAACTTTTGTAATTTTTCTAAACGTGCTAAAAAAGTTTAACTACAAAAATATAGTTTATAATTGATAGTCGTGAATAAAATAATCATTATTGTAATAAAGAACATGCTACTCCACAGCAACGTTCTTTGACAAATCATTAAAAATTATATTAATAATTTAACTTTTTAGAAATAAATTAACTTTTTACAAAGAAATAATTAGGGCGAGTGAAGCGAGACGTAACACTATTTATTCCACGACCTGAGCATTTTTGTGGTACACTGTACTGAAAAACTATAACGTGTATAGATTTGTGCTTTAACATATTAATATAACTTCATGTCTGTTAGCCAAGGGCGGATCGAGGGGGGGGGTCATGGGGGTCATGACCCCCATGACATTTTATACATGTGTAAATCACCAGAAAATGCAATATTTTTATGACATGGTGCTGATCTGCTGAGGGAGCTGGAAGGAAGGCCAAAGGAACTTCGAAATGTACAACGAATGTTTGGGTACATTTGAATCGTATTGACGAGTAGTTTGTCTTTCATTGGTAACCAGGATCTGATGATGGAGCTCCATCTTCAGGATTCCATGGACATATGCATAGGGTTGCAGATGTGTTTTCTCCTTATAATAAAGTGGGCTCCAGCGACCTCGCTCACCAGACAAATCACATAAGTCTCTCGACTTTCAGTTTTGCCGGAAACTCGAATGAAAAAACCGAGTTTTTTCGTCTTGGCGACCGTTAAAAACTCACCCCCAAAGTGGAAGATAGTCATCCCGACGCAACAGATCGCCCGGCTCGTTTGAAATTATTTTTTGCTTTTACCATTTTTAAAATATTTCCACTCAGATCTTTTTTTTTCTAATGGGTTGCATCCTACCATTATTTTTTTTTTCACTTTTTATTATTTTTAAAGGCTTCTACCCTGGTCTAATGCGAGACCATCTTTGGGAAATAAAATTTTCTATGAATGTGGATTCTTTATTTTGTAGATTCTGGACGTGGATTCTGTCTTTGATTAGATGGATTAGAAGCGCTGAATATTATGAATGAATGAATGAATAAACATTTTTTTTGTTATTTATGAACATTTTTTTAATGTGGACGATGTAATTTTATTTTGTGTACGGCTATTTTAGTTTTCATTTGGGTTGATTATATATTATTATTAACCCGTGTCCCGATAGTCCCGTCTTAGGCTACTTTTCATTGAAGTGGAGCCAGCGTGCGGAGTAGAGGAATAGAGAATATTATAACCAATACGACTACATAAAATCTGGTAACGAAGAAATAAATAAAATAAATTCCAAAAATAAGTAAGCCCACCAATAGCTACTCAAAAAAGAGGCTTTTCTAAGTGTATTCATTTTTTTTACCAAATACTAAGCATTAATAATGTTATATAAATAATGATAAATATTTAAAATCACTCGTAATTAATTAATTACATTAATTTGAACTTATCTCAGTAAGTGCGTGATTTATGGGCCACTCATTTATTTTACCCGCGATCATTCATAACTAACTCGCACACAAGTTCGTTTCAAAAGTATACGACGCATTTATGAATGACTACCGCATTATCAAAAAGTTTGTTCTTGTTTTTAGTGAATAGAATGCCAATTTTAAAAAAAAAGTTTTTTTTATTTCAATAAACGATTATACTGCCGAGTCTGAACCTCCTGTGTGAATTAGAGCACCTTTATAAAAGCCACCTTGTATAATATATGATAATAAAAAACAACGAAATTTTTTTATTTATATCTATGATTATAAAAATTAAATTATAACTTCTTATAACTTGACCACGACTACGTGACCCCCCCTAGCACCAAAGCTGGATCCGCCCTTGGTGTTATCTGGAAAAAAATGTAATTTGATAATCATAAAGAACATGAACAATAACAATTTGGTACTCATTGGATAGAATGTCATTGTACTACTAACGCCATCTGTTGCAAAACCATCGATGCAACAGAACTAAACTCAATACTCAGATATATCGTAGTTAATATTTATTTTTTTATTTATTAAAGGTTGTAAAATAACGGCGTGTTGACATCTGTTATCTAAATGGCGTCAAAATAAAAACAAAATCGTTAACAAGAAACGTAGTGAGCGGCGGAGTTACAGACCAGGACCGCTGGAGGCTGGGAGGCTTGCTGCTTATTGGCACTAGCTCTCCTGGCTCCCATGGACTCTGGTCAGCGAACTCTAGGGGGTTTGTTGGCCTTCAAAAAGGCGCACTCGTTGAATGGATTAAATAATATTAAAAATTCATATGTCTTAAAGTGTATAAAGCAGAAATAAATCCGTATGAGAAACTTACACCCAGTTTCCGAAAGCGCAATCAATTTTAATTTCCGATAAATCTCTTGTCAAACGTTGTTTAACATGATCTGAGTTGCTAGAACGTCTGAAAACAACATTGATTTTGATTTGCAATTAGTCACTGATTAACGGACAATCAACAGAAAATCGAGTTTCTGAAAGCGTTTTTCGGTGTTCAACGAGCTGTCAAAGTTTTATTAAGTAATCTGTCAATTTGGACGATCAATCGTTGGTTAAAAATGTATTTTATCAAAAATCTTAGTTTTTATTAGAAATAAACATAATTCCCTAATACGTTATAAGGAAATTCATGTGTTCTATTACCTATTTATTATTTATTATTATGCGAACATATCATGCGATTAGAAAAAATAGAAATTGCAATTCAAAATTTAATAAATAATATGGATTCTTTCTTTTTATAATACTTACTTGTTTATTATGGATAAAAGTTCATTTTTTTCGCGTTCTGTAATTTTTTTTTGACATTTTGCATGTATTTATATAAATAAAATTTTATTATAGCTCGGATTTTTACCTTGGCAATCACACGGTGACAGGACTGGATAGTGACGTTAATTTAAGTTTTGTTTAAAAAGGGACAGCTATACAATAGAAAGAGTTAGTTGAAGTAAATCATTCATTTCATTCATTATCGTTGGTTATACAGTGATTAGCTAATTTTTCTTGAACAAACCTTCCAGAAACCCAAGGCAGTTTAACAAGAGATTAACAGCTGATCATTTTTGACATAGTGTTATGTGATTGCTGCTTTGATTGGCCTTTCGGAAACTGGGCATTAATGTCACAGAATGAATATAAGTACTAAACAATGTTTTATAAACCAAACAAAAATAAAAAAATATCTATAATGATTGGTCGTATGAACTATTTACCGAAGCCCATGTCAAATATAATAATTTTAAATAGTCTTAAAAATTATTACTCGTTATAAAAACCACGCGAGCCTTCACAAAGCTCATCTTTTTGCTAGTTACGTAGTAAGAACCCCACATAAGCAAACGGAACTCGACAGCTCCAAAAAAGGGTCATACTACTCTACTCGTCACACCTGAAATTCCAAAAACTGCAGTTTACGATCTATCTTAAAGTTTCTAATCTTTGTAGGGCAAAAGGCTTATTGGCGAACCCAAAACATGGAAATTAGTATTGCCGTTAGTTTAATTATTCTTTATAGTTATTTTTTAGTTAAAAAAATAAAAACGAAAAAGATATCATCGACCCCAACTACCACTGTCTCCTTTCGTAAATGACAAAAACCTCAAATCATCAGCATTAAAAGAAATCCTAAGTTAAGTTTTGCTTCAAAAAGAGCTACAATTGAAAACAACAAACGTCGTTAAGTCTTTGTACAGCGTAATTGTCCGTTCACAAGAAATAAAGAACGCTCTAACTGCGCGAATAAAAGCATAATGACACTTTTTAATATCGTTAGATTTGTTTAACAAAGCGCAAACAGTATTTAAACTTGCACAATGAACCAAGTCATATCGTCCAAAAAGAAAATATCTGGTAAATGTATTTTATTAACTTCCATTATTATTTTTTGCTATTTAGATGTAAGTAAAAGGATATAGTAAGTAAAAATAAAATGAAATTTGAAAAATAAATTCCCAACATTATAGTAAGCGTCCTGTTTATTTTGGTGAAAATTTCGAATTTCAAACAAGAAGGAGAATACATATAGTATAAAACCACTAACAAAACAATCATCACCAACGACACATTTACAAAAGACCTGTCTGTTATTATTGATCCAAGTTTCCGTCCACTCCCTTCTTTTTTTAAAGGTAGTCTGCCTCTCTTTAGAAGAAGACAAGCCCATTCGGTGTTCTTTCAAAAATATCCCTTTTTACCCTACCCTTTTTTTATTGAGCGGTGCTCCTCTGCAATACACATTACGGCCGTTAGGTTAGGTTACTATTTTTTTAATTTAGTTATTGATGTATTTATTATAATTTTTAAAATGTACTGGGATTTTGTTGTAAAAAAAAAGTATTACGGAGCTAATACCCAAAGTGCTAGTAACCAATTCTACAGATAGATAAAATATTGAAACTAGTCAGTCATATCTGTGCTATTTGAATAACTTTTGGTTGTTATATAGTAAGATTTATACGATAATAATATGATATTTGTTTACTCACGTATCTAATAATCTGGATGCTTATTACCAAATATACAACCCCCTTAATATCTTGGCGCTCATATCCAAGTCTATGTTCGTATTAACGTTGAGATAACTTCAAAGCCAGAAGATTAGATAAAACCGCAATGCTTAACTGTTCTTCCTATGCAAATTCGAAACATTGTTGGTTATATATTTGTGACCTTGCGTATTGTAAATGCGAATTATTTAATGAATACTTTTCTTCAAAAATCATAATGTAATATTTAATGTAACCTTAATATAACGAACCTCAATATAACTCTTTTATCGATTTTTCGGTATTTTCAAAATCCCCTATAACTGTCCATAAGAGCTAATGGAAAATATACGTTTACAATAAGAATATATAAATATATATCTAATCCTTGAATTCTAATCTTTGAACCTTTGACTGACATTGGAGGTTTGGTCCTCCCAGCTCAGCAATTTTACACTTAAATACATAAATATAATGCGCACAACGAATATCAAGGGTAACTAGATTTATGAAAAAAGGGAATAAAAGAGTAAAGAGAATATCGCTTGACGAGTAAACTGGTGAATGCATTACGAGACAAACAGAACAGTTACGCGAACGGTGATATCTTCATTATTAATTTATCGATTAAAACCGATAATAGGTTTAAATATTTATAGAAAAATAATACATGTATATGTATGGTAATGTATATATTATGCATATAAAAAGATATATATGTTTGTACACACACAAATATATACCTTTATATATATTGCCTTTATGCCAAGCATTGAAATTAATCAATAATTATTTTAAAACGTCAGTTTCTCTCGGCGGCGTCCACTGTCCTTGGCGCTGCTTTACAAATTTGCTACGCCAATAAGCCGATTCGCCAGTCATAACAGTGATACCATACAGTATTGTTGCGGCTGTAAATTCAAACGGGTGACTTTCTAACTCAATAGCGTTTTTAGGTTTGCTAATAAAACGGTAAGCGAAAAGTATATGTGGACGGTAAATTTTTTTCTGTCTCTTATTTTTTACGCAAAGATTCATTGTTACCAATTCGTGTTTCTGTTATGATTTCCTGATCATTTCTAAATAGTTAAATAATACTGTTTTGCGCAGTTTACTAATTTGCGGCGTCAAACACTACAGCGTATTGCTATGCGACGAATTTTCTGAATTATTTTCATCATTTTTCTATATAATCTGTAAATCTGTGTTTAAAATAATCGCTTTATTATTAGAAGAAATTATTAAAAATGTGATTTGCTATCAAAGATCAGGATAAACTAGACAAAATTATTTAAACTTTTAATAAAACCATTGATAGAAATTCTGAACCGGATAAGATACAATCCAAATTAAAATATTCCGTTGAAATAAAATTAAGTAATTTATATTCCTAAATACTAAAGTTGCACAACTCTAGTATGATTGATGTTAGAAAGGCGGATAATAAAGTTTATATTTTTGTATCATTAATAGTTCTAGACAAATCTTAAACCACATTTGTCATTAATTATTGTAATTAACGCAGGCTTCACTATTATATTATACGACATTTATCTTGTTGATTTGTCTTGATGGTTTATGATGTTAATCTTTCGGTGAAGGTAAATGGCATATGGTCATACTTGTACCTTTTTTATGACAGATTTTATTCGTTTGACTTATTATGCCAACTTTTTCCCTTGTTTGACTTCAAACGAACAATTAAAACATTTAGAAAAAGTACGAAAAGATTGTCACCATATTAACGCCTTCATTCATTAAGTGCAGAGATTAGCACTATAAAAAACTTTAAAATTTCAAACGAACAAGTTCTGTTGACGAATGATAATTTTAATACCATGTTTAGTAGTTGATGCACGTATTTAGTTGATTTAAATGAAATTGGTACACAGATAGTCTAGAGCCTGAGAAAGGACATAGGCTATTTTTAATTGGAAAAAAGTAGTGTTGTATATTATTCTTTAAAGAAAGATTTATTTATTTAACGGCTTAAACGCGAGCGAAGCCGCGGGCGAAATGCTATTTTTAAATATTTGAGAATATTTCCTGATGTCTTACGTATATCGGGTTCATTATAAATGCAAGGGACACATCGTTATCCTTAATAGTATAAAATTAAAAAAAATATGTGTATACTTATGTACGCACGTAAGAAGTTGTACTTGTTTAGCAAAAAGACATTAAATGCAATTGATTTACGGTTTATTTCATCATAGTCGCTCATAGGATAGGGTCAGTGTACGAGCGCATCGACAAATTTTATTGTCCTAATTTTTAAATTAAAAAAAGAAATTAAGCATTCGAATAAATGTAAGTTTTTTCCTGCTAAGTTAATTATTATAATATTATGTTTATTTTCATTAAAACAGTAATCTTTCAAAGATGCCGCAAGACCAACAAGATATAGCCTTGATTAAGGAATGGCTTGCAAAAGAACCACATCTGCCACGTGACCTTGGTAAGTAATCTTAGAATAAATTTGGTAAATTTGAGTATCGTAAATATCGAATATAAGCCGATTATAGAATAAAAAAATATTTGAGCTTTTGATCCATTTACCATTTAGTTCTTAAAGCGTTGATGCTGTAAGTAAGGTTACCAACCATAATTTATAATAACATATACAGCGTGTCGTTACCATCGCGACACTAAATGAACACACTTATAGAGAATAACTTTTTAAAGTTGTATTAAACATTTAAATTCTTTAAACATCAATATTTACAGAGTTATTAAATTTTCCAAAACAAAGAATTTTAGAACACCGTTACCTATAAAAGCGTAACGGAAAGTTCATTTGTAAAGGTCACAAAGCATATGAATGGGTTGAATGAATTTAAAAGAGACAAACCATACTGTTAGAAGGAGAGGCTTGTAATACGACGCTGTGGCGCGAGCTATAAGGATGTTACAAATTTCGTTTCTTTTTTACTTAATTAGTTTGTTTGAAAAATATTTTTTTTTAATTATGGATTTTGTTTAACATTAATATTTTTTATGATTATTGGCAAGTAGCGTTAGACGTGTGTTCATTTATTGTCGCGATGGTAACGACACGCTGTATAACCTTTTACTTTTGGCAAATATACTTTATATTTTGGCATAAAAATATGGTAAGAGAAAATATTCTAATTCCTGACAGTAATACTCTTATTCATTATCCTTAAACACTATTTAAGGATAAGCCTACACGAGTAGAAATAAATAATAAATAAAAAAAATTAAAAATATAATTTTTTCATCCAAATACTTTATTTTTTCCCTACTTGAAAAATATGAAGTTATTTTCTCAAAAACAGCTGGCAACCCTAGCTGTAAGGTGTTAAAGTGGTAATGAATCAAAAAGACAAATCTCACTGTTGAATTAGTTTTACCACATATACAAATAATTTCCGGTCTATATTTTTATAACTAACAATTTATTAGAAATTTAGTATTAGATTTAAATTTCTTATAGTGCTCATCGCAACGGTGAAACACTGTTCGTCCCCTTTTTTACAATTCGAAAAACATAACTTCATTAAATTTTTGTTTTTTTTTCTAGCAAGCTCCAGGAACAGATAACGATAATGACGAAAATTTAAAAATCAACGCTAGCATTAAACAAATATTCACACCGTCTATTTATAAAGTAAAGAAAAAAAGTATAATGGATTCTCGAATGAAAAACTGCGAGATGATTAACATAAAATAAACTGTAATTATTTAACAAATAGCAATTGAAATAAGATTTTCTTGTTATAATGAATGATGAGATATCTTTCATCATTTTAGTGTAAAATATATAAGTACAGATGAACTCAGATTAAAATATTTTAGAACGTATTAATCATACACAACAATATCATACAAAAATACAACACAATTGTTGAAATTAATAATTAGGTATGTTCTGGAATACTGTGGATTTGTCTTACTTATGCATTACACATAGGCTTGTTAAATATAATTATATATTGTTCAGCTCTCTGTAATGCGTATTATAGATGACGGTAGAATTAACCTTAATTATACTTGTAAGACATTGTTGCACACATCTATCGCAACAGCTGTAACCACCATTACGCTGCTTTTAAAAGGGAACATTTAAAAATCATTCGCATGCGACTACAATAAAACAAGGCCCTGCGTCAGTTTCTGCTGTGGCCATTGAATAGGCAGGTCCGTCGAGGGCAGTACCATAGCCTCGCAGAAGATCGGTATCAAGTGAAAGTATTTTACATTCGATTTTCGTCTAATGAGTGAGGTAGCCGGAACCCACTTCTTTAACGAATGGCAACTTATCAAGTAAAAAGGACCGCTATAATTTTCGCGTTTCAATTTCTATCATCATATCCTAGTTACCGCCCAGTATGAGTTTTTACATAAAAATATTTGAAAACTAAAAAAAGCTGTGACATGTTTGCTAATAAGACGTAAATTATATTAATTTTTATAGTATTATTTTCTGCACTTGTGAATTTTGAAAATGAAAATTACGTGAATTTTTCTAGCTCAGTGGCTAAAGCGTCGGTCGCGTATCCCGGAAGACACAGGTTCAAATTCTCGTAGCGGTCAAAAACCATTTTTCTACATATCTTTTATTATAGAACTGTATACAAAAATAATTTCTAATTTTTTTCTTATATAAATTATGATGCATCTATAGTTACATTACATTAATATAACGTATGTCTAATGACTGTACTAGCGACTAGTTCTGGGAGAACGCAATAAAACCCAAAACAATGATTTTATATGTATCTGTTTGTCTGTCACTTTTGCATAGTAGTTAGCTTCACATAACATTAAGCGTTAGTTTTATTTAAATCGTTTCATAAATAAAAAAGCTATATCAACTTAAAGAAACACATTGAATATTTGTGCTACTAAATGCTATAATAGCTACAATTGAATTGGAAGAAACTATAGTTAACTACATTTTATGGTTTGTAAAATGATACTTGATCCCACTAATAATTTTTGCACGGGTAGTAGTAGTTTAGGTAGTAATTTTTGCATAGGTAGTAGTAGTAGATCAGAAAATGACATAAGCTAATTTTTATCCTAAAATGTATGGTTCCTTTGGGTTAGCATACGGGAACCGTGTTTTAAAGGGTTTGGTAAAAGATCGTGAAATAGATTTTAGCGCATTTTTCTCAAGAAGTCTTGATTAATTTACAAAGAAACGATAAAAAATCTCAAAAAAATTAAAATGCCCGACTCAAAGTAGACACTCTTTGCAAGACCGACTCTTTGCAAGACACCGATAGTAACGTTCGCTCCTTCTGGATATATAGTGAGAATTTGATTCTAACGCCCTGCCACGAGATTGCGAGTTACAGCGAGCAATGAATTTTCTGAATCACGTTGTTAATATTTTCTTGTGCAGAATGTAATTTTCAAAGCAATTTCCGTTTGTTTTGTAAATAAATAAATTCAAAATCAAAATTCCGAATATACATAACACCGCGAGTTTGAACCCCAATTCCTTAGGTTCGATTCGCCCCAGGATCTGCTGAACAGGAAATGGCACAGGAACCTGGGAAAGCGGCGGTCTTATATTTTAAGGACGATATAAAATGTAGTACATGCGAGCCGCGAGCGAAAAGCTAGTTTTTAATACATTGTTCAGAAAATAAATAATGTTCTGTGTATTTATTTAAAAAAAATCATAGCTAAAGAAACTAAAGAGACTTTTCCGACGTAGTTCCCGATGCATCATCATAAAAAATAAATTAAAAATTGTTTTTAATTTTAAATTATAAATTATTACTATGTATACTATGCTATTTTAAATTGTTACTTAACTTTTTAATAGCTTTTTATAGCATTTTATTATTATTGTAATTATGCAATATTAGTACATAATTATATTGGTAAATAATTTTAGGGTACGTTGCAATCGTTGTGTTGATATCGTTACAGACTGATGGAAATAACAACATCATTTTTGTGATTAGTTGCAAAAAATGCGTTGTTCTATTTTTGAATTATATATAACCCAAAACCTGTTCAAGACTTTAACATAATTATCATCAACGATAATTAATCTTTTTTATATTATTTACTTTATTATAATAAACCAGTTCCTTACGAGACTCGTTCAAACACTTTTTACTGCTTCTCAATCAACGCGCGCACAGAAACAATGATGTCTCTCAATTATTTTCAAGTCACACTAAATGCCTGTTAGTTTTATTAAACTTAATACTTACGTAATTACTTGTATTGTAGAATTTCTCAACATAATAGCTTTATGGCCCTCTTTTTGTCATTCGTACTTGTATTATTTGGGGTCGGAAATAAAATAATAACATAAAGTCTATGCATATATGACAATTTGCAGTGAGCTATAGGTACCCGGAAAATTGAAATTTTTGTTTCGCCAAAAAAAAGTAACTAAAATGTTTTGCCTACATATTTTCTACATATGCCTGTTCTACATATTTTAATGTTATGCCCTGTTCCAGTACTCTTTTTATGTCAAAAAGACTTTTAATGAAATTGATAACGGTTTATATACTATGGAATTATAGGTAAATGTCAAAAGCTTGCTATTCGTTGCCATGCTAATCGCTATAGAACCCATCATGTCACTTTTTATCTATCGCTGTGCGGGCGCATCTTTTTATCTATAACGCTGTGTTTGAATATTTTTACTTACCTTCGAAACGTGATAAAACATATTTCTTCTACTCTTCGAAACGTGGCACAATTGCTAAGCTATTCGCTTCGGTGTCGAAATCCGTGGGGCAAGGTTTTGCTTTCCTTTTTTGTTCCGGATCTGGGTGTTCGTCACAAAAAGCCTAGTCAATACCACCGAAAACATGATGCAACTGTTATGGTAAAAGCATCTAGGTGGAATATGTTCAGGAGGTTGTTAGCCAAAAACAAAACATTTGAAACATAAATTCATACGCAACAGATACGCAACGCGAAATAAAAACGTATTTTTGTAAGAAAAATTGTTTCTTTATAATAAAAAAAAAATATGCTTGTAAATAAAGATATACATTTTAAAGCCAAGTTTTTAAAACCAACAGGTTTTTAAGTCTATGCTAGTATTGTTTACACCAACATTTAAAAACGAGAAAAAGCAATTTAGTATTTATATGTATGAACTAAAGATATCTTACTATTGTTTATGCCGCCGCGCTTCAGCACTGATCTATTAAAAAGGGTTATAGTCTTGTTTGTAATTATTTATTCATTCTTTAGTCTCTTATTTAGTCATTCGTCTTTTTATAGAGACTTGTAACGTACATACGAGTACCTTTTCAATAATTAAATTAAATAACAAAATGCATTTTTAACCGACTTCAAAAGGAGGTTGTATTTTTTTATGTTTGTTGCGAACTCGCGCACAAAGGGTTCCCTACTATTATCTCACACGGTTACAACACTCGGGTTCCTAAAACGAAGTTCCTTTCGTAGTTTATTATTATGGATAAACGTATTATATTTTAAATAACTACAAATTTTATCCCTTATTCAAAGCCAAACGCTTACAACATAATGTTTTGCCGACTCCACCTAGGTGATGATGATGAACAAAAAATGTTATCACCTCTTTGTTTGGGAAAAAGACATGAATTGATAATGGTTTAATTAAATCATTTGGAATTATAGGTTAATGTTAAAAAATTGTTATTGGTTGCGGTGCTGTTTTCGTGACGATTCGGTCTTGATGGGAAAATTCTTACACTTTTTTCCCCTAGCCCGCATTCGCCAAATCCATTCCGTCTGATAATTGCCTTCGCTTCAATACGCAAAAAATACGAAGATATTTCCACCAAAAAATCGCAAAGTTCTTAACACAAACACATAACTGTATTTATTCTGATAAATAACATTGATAATATGTTGTTTAAAAAAAAATCATCCCAAACTTTGTCTGCCTATCAATTAAGTACCTGTTGTACCTTATATAATGTTGTAAATGTTAATTTTTTAGACGATTTAACAAATCTTATATCATTAATTTTGTTCAAAGTACAACATTTGTCATTTGACTGAATTATAGCTTCATCTTTACTAATATTATAAATGCGAAAGTTTGTATGTATGGATGGATGTTTGTTACTCTTTCACGCAAATACTACTGAATGGATTTTAAAGAAACTTTAGAATAATATAGCTTATACATCAGAATAAGACATAGGCTATAATTTATATACATTTTTTATGTATATATGTCTTTCCGTATGAATGGGCCGCCTATTCTACACAGACGTAGTCGCGGGCAGCAGCTAGTCATTTAATAAAACTCGCTGGCTCTGTTGTCGTAGTTTCTAAGATCAGTCGGTGCGACAAACAAATTACCTATAATATTTTCAATAATTTTAATCACAAATAACTGCACACTCATACACACGCAAATATTTCTCTCGATATCCTGCGTTCATTTATTTTGTGTAACTGCTTTTCAACATAACAAATTGTTATGTTACAGTTTAGTTGTTTTTAAAACTTTTGATGCAATGCGTGTGATTATGAAAAATATATTTTTTAGATGATTTCGTACTGAAGAAGTTTCTTCACAGCTGTTACGGCAGCTTGGAGCGGACTAAAAGGTGCATAGAGAAGTTTTGCACCACCCGCAGCGTCATGTCCGAAGTGTACACTACAAGGGATCCCATATCGCCGAAGATTCAAACTGCGTTCTCCATAACGTAATAATATAATATGCTCAATAAATAAATACTAACCGAGTGGATACGGAGGATCCCAATAATATTTTTAGCGTTTTGACAATATAAACATGTCCAGATGCGTAACTCTGCTTAGGGGCCCATCAAACTCGTCGAAATTTAGCCTTTCCACGAATAAGATTTTTACCGACCTAGATCACAAAAATCAATAATTATTTTCATTCAAAACCTAAAATAAATACTAGAACTTCAACTAAATTCAAAACATTATCACATACTCATATGTTCTTCATAGCATTTATAAAACGAACGAGTATTTGTATAAAAGGAAATGACGAATTCTTCATAATATGCGTCGACTTTCATCTTAGTAATAAGGAAAAGTGCAGTTAAATGTGGCTAATAGAAAATAAATATCCCGAAAAAGAAAAAAACGTATCATCATCATCAGCCGCAAGACGTCCACTCTTGAACAAAGCATAAACTAGGTGGACAGATGACATTGTAAGAATCGCGGGCCTACTAGTGGATGCAAATGGCAAAATGTCATTCGATATGGCGTACTAAGGAATAGGCCTGTGCACAAAAACGTATTTTTTTTTACTAACCTTTTTATTAACTGTTTTGCATAAGTTTCTTTAAAAAAGAAAAGAAAAAAGCTTTTGGCACATTCATCCACTGTTTTATTTACAGAAATATATCCACATACGAAGCCAACAATCAAGAGATCCTTATTCACCAATTCGAGGATCCAACTCTCGAGAAGTTTCAATTTTACGACATACTGAAAAGTTTCAGCATACAAGCTGACATGTGGATAAAGACGACAAAGTTTCTACCCGACGGACATATCATCATCCTCGACATGAACAATTATTCACTGCGCATGATTCCTAGAGTCAATTTTTTTTTCTTTAGAGAGTTCCTCATTTATTTACTTGTAAGTATAATTAATTTTCAGTATCATAGTTAATATACATTAACATTATAATAACATACATTATTAATAATATACATTATTAAATACCTACGTAAACAATTCATATTTTAACTAAAAACTCCATTGTTACATTTTATTGATCACTAAATAGCAATGCTTCAAATCCTGGTGTCGCCATTAATGAAATTATTAGCTTAAAGTGCTCATTCCTCACATGCTAAGCAGTGAAAAAAGACATCTTGAGAAAATCTAGATGTTTTCTAAATAACAACAAAAAATGAATTTATGCAGCGAGGTCTCGTAATGGACTATGCCGTAATACCCTTTACCCAGCAGAGGATGTATGTAGGCTGTTACTTTTTGGTAAAAAGTTAATGATTGTAACTAAATTATATAATAGATGAAATCTAAAATATTACAGACTAAGTCAATTTAACTCTTACCTTTATTTCGGATTCATTTTCTCCGCTAATCACGATATCGTAGTATTAAACGTTTACCGTTAAATACCAGGATACAACGTTAACGTGACATATACTATTTGTCTACGAAGACAAGTAGCCTTTTTTCAAAAATTGGTCAGTTATCATCCGAATGTCTTTTATGTAATAACGTTAAATATCACCTAGCACTGACGACGCAAACCATTGTCAAGATACTTGTTTACGTTAATTTTCTAGGATGTCCTTTTTTCCATATCTCTAATTGACAAGTGTATATGATTTTGCTATCCCAGTTCAACGGGGATATTAACTCCAGATATTATAATGGAATAACAACGACAAAGACGATTTCGGCTCCGGGGCTAATCTATAATCTATGCAAATTCCGAGGCAAATGGCTTATGCAGACAGTTTCCGAGCAATGGCCGGAATGATACACAATATATCGAAGTAATCTTAGTGGTTTAGCTGTACAAAATTTTAACTTTAGGAGTAATATATTAAAATATGGAGATAAAAGTCACATTCAATCACAACATTATCGAACATGCCCGATTACCAAATCCACAAAAAGATAAATGAATGTTATGATTTATGCACTCTTTAGCGACACGATTAGTGTCGTATAGAGCGAGACTCAGTTTGTTACTTCATAAACATTCCGCCATGTAATTTCAGGAAGCAATGCCGGTTCGTGTTAAACAAATCTATGGAATAAACGCGCCTTCTTTCTATGATAAATTATTTGTTTTGGTCAAACCAGCGCTGCCCGCTGAAATTTGTGATATGGTGAGTTATGAGTGTCCGGTGGGACTATAATGAACATCAAGTTGCTTTTATTGGTTAATGGAATATAAAATAAATTTGCATTTTTATGACTACAGTGATAATATAGTGATTGCTTAAACCTTGCACGAATAGACTGCCTCTTCCGGGGAGACACCTAGGCCTGATAAATGACCACAGCGTACTTTGGAATGTGTTTAAACTTTTTCTTCTCGCCTGATAAATGAGACGCATCCCTTAAAAACTTCTGTAAAGTTACTGTAAATACTCTGGTATTGTGGGAGTTGATTGGTGAACTTTTTATAGGGTCACACATAATAAAAAAATCATTAAAGATTAAGCGAGTGGATCCAAATTAATCAGGTTTCGGAATTGGATATTTAGGACTATATCAAAGTGCGATTAGCAGTTCGTTAAATGTCTTATAAGCATGGTATTAACCGATGGCAGAAAAGAACAACAAGCTGTAGTGAAAGTTTGTGTTCCATTTAATATCAAAATTTTACTTCTCTAAATGTAAAATTGAAATGTTATAATTATAAAAAAGTGTATTTTCAGATTCGCTTTCTACCTGACACTCAGAGCTTGCACGAATTTATAGATAAGAAATATTTACCTTTGGAATATGGTGGAGATGCTCCAAGCATGAAAAAACAACATGAAGATTGGATTGTCCAAATACAAGATGAGAGGTATGGTTTACGTTTTCTTTAAAGTAAACTATAGATAGTAAAGGCAGTTATTTGGTTTATGGAAGTTAATTCGGAGAAATTTAAACAAAAAATGTTTTTGTTTGATAACGATAAAATTAAATAAATTACTGGGTAGTATTTTAATATTTAATTCTATAAATTTAAATTATTAAAATGCAGCGTTTCTACGTCATAAGACACTGGCCGACTTCACTTTCTGTCGAGTGATCAATATACTATTTAAATGTATTGCAAATTTGCGTAACCTTGCAGACACAAACATACAAAACTACAGAATAGCAAACATAATGCCCAATTTTTTCAGTACTGAATGCTCGACTTTTTCCTACATCAAGATCGTGTCAAAACTATAGTTTCTAATCTACAATATTTTAAATTGTCTATAATATAGACTCTATAATAATTCTAATATGAATATAAAAAGATAAACGCGTTGTCTATAATTAAACAAATAGTAAAATAAGTTCATGTTAATTATACTCACCTTCAACTTATTTTCAATACTTTATTGCTGTTGATTATACTTTTTGTTTATCACAGGTCTATGTTTCACGATGATTTATGGAAAGCGGACTTGAAGAAGAAGCCTAAATCTAATTCTTTTGAAAGCTCAATGAATGGTTCCTTCAAAACCTTATGTATAGACTAGATGTATAAACATTTTTCAGTAGCTTTAATAAAATGTTTAATAGTTGTGTTTAATAAATGATATAATAGTTGTGATAAAAATATTTTTACTACAAATATTTACGGTGAAACAAAGGAACAACCGAAAGACTCACACTCCTGGGGTTGCGCACCTAAAAACTGTCTTTGTTATGTCAGCAGTTACACACTATCTTAATTTTTTACTACGCTTTTGACAGATGACAGTATAGTGTAAGTTTGTAACGGCAATGATTTGTATGCACTATAATTACAAATAAAACAGTTTCCAGATAATAACTTCCTTTATTTACGACACTATTAGACACAATTTCATTAGTGCCAGTACCGAGGATCGAACTCAGGTTGCTAGAGTATTTTGAATTAAAAGCGAGCGCTCGCACACTGAGCCACCACAGCGATTATTAATTTTAAGTGCTGACTTATCGCGTGCCCAGTGGTGAAGGAAATCATCGTGAAGGATCCTGCATATTTTAGGAATAATAAGAAAAAAAGTATTTCAAAGATATGTGAATTCCGCCAATCCGCACCGCACTGGAGTCGCATAGCGGACTAAGGTCTAAAACCCTCTGCCACATGGATACACATATGGGACATTATATATAGGCTATTACTTTACCTTTTTTAAATTACACACTTTAATAAAGAAGAACAGCCTGTGGAGTGTGCACGCTTGCCTCACATTGGGCTAACTATCGTTGATATTCTAAGAGTTCTACATAAAGATGGATGATATAGCAATATGCTGCCCAGTACCTCCCATTGTTGCCAATATATTCATGGAAGACTTTGAAGAGAAAGCCCTATCTGTATAAATGACACTTTCACATTTTTTTCATCTATTAAAGTATATGCATTTAAAAAAAACTCTTTAAATCCAAATATTAAATTTACTATGGAATTCGAGGCATATAAATCTTTTGCTTTCATGGACGTTCAAGTAATCCGAGACTCAAATACAAACATATATTTAAATGGCGACTCTCACCACCATCCTTCCCAGTTAATTCTTAATTGGGTAATTCTTTTGTTCTGGAAGCATGAGGAATCTGTGAAGATGAAAACCTGGCTACAACATGTCAAGCTAGTTCTGCGGAACAACAAGCTTCCAGTACCGCACCAACGTCATAGTGACCCAGTGGAACCAGCCACAGTTTAGCGCAAGAGAGAGTATTGAGAGACACTTACAAAATTGGCTACATCTTGAACTACCCACTGAATAAGATAACTCAATTAATGACATCTGTCAAGTCTCCCCCTCTACAAGTTTCAGAAGTGTACAAGTTCTATTGTGAATGTGATCTCTCATAAATATCGGCCCAACAAAGCGGGCAATCAAAGTCGGCGTTATTTGTCATATATTTGACATAAAGCACAACCACTCAAGTTATCAGCAGTCTGCGAACACACACTACACCGTCCTAAACATTTACTAAATATCATTTATTCATTATTAAATCAAGAACCTAGCGCTCCACCGCTGAAATACTGCGTGATACTGGAATAGACGCAGCAAATGCTAACTGGCAGCCAGAATTTGCGGCGAGAATATGAATAAATAAAATTAATAATTTTCTAGGTAACTCGAGTCAACAGCGATAACAGGACGCCAGATAATCTGGTCCGCTACCACAAATGCTGTAAAAACAGCGGTACAATCCGTAATTTACTTTTATTAAATAGTTTTCAGATGCTCTTATTTACTTGAACCTAACTTGTATCTAACTTCTAGATTATATTCCAGATTTACAAGATGCACAGCTTGAATCTTGTAAATCTAGAAATTTGCTACGAAGTGTGATTTGCTTATTTTCAAATTGCAGTCATGCCTCTAAGATAACGAGAATTTATCTATGACTCATACCCCTAATTTGATGAGTTTGCGAGTATCAGTTACGAGTACAGTGTAATTTTACTTGACAACTCGGTCCGATTATATAAAATACGAGTACAAACGGAGAAATTACTGATGTTATAAAGGTTCTACTGTTACATAATTGAATTACATAACAGAAAATATCAGTCCAAAGCTCTCTTTGGACTGATATTTTCTGGTTAAACTCTGACATAAATCGGTGTAAAAATACTCTTAAGGGGCATAATAAAAGAAGATTACTCGGTTGTATTATAAAGTTACAAATAATTTCAGACCCGGATATACGTCCGACAGTTAGATACCGGCACTTCAACGCGTCAAGGTTTCAGATGCAGGAAAATGCATGTATTTGCAGAAAACCGCTACCAGCACGTTTTGTACTTCATAGAATAAACACATATTTTAGTACCGAAAAAGCATTACGTTTTTTTAATGTGAAAAGTTGGCAAGCAAGCGGGCGGTTCACTTGATGTTAAGTGAATATCGCCACCCATGGACATCTGCTTCATCCGAGGGTTGCAGCTGCGTTGACAACCTTTTGAAAATTGGGCTGTGAAGTTAAATCTCGCAAAACTCAAAAAAAATAGAGAAGGCAAGGAAAATTTATTTTCATTAGTACCACAGTACAAGTGTCCATACATGCCCTTACTTTCCATTTCGCACAAATGTGCAGTACGTTTTATAAACAAATATTTTTTTGTTAACAAAAATAAAACTGACTTCAAATACTTGGTAGCTAAACAGAACCCAATTTAAAAAGGACTTTTTAAACTCAGTTAAAATATTCGTAAAATATTCAACTGAGTTTTGAGGTAACAAACAACCGAACTCATTTTTTCAAGGCAAATGAAATACATTAAGAAAATGAGAATTAAAAAAAGGAGATAGCATAAAATAAAGATAAGGGGTGTGCCAACTAAGGGGTATCAAATAATTATTTTAAATTGATAAATAGGTGTGTACTTATGTACGCACGTATGAAGTTATAGTTCTTTAGCGTAACAAAAGAAGAATAAATAAAAAATTATAACCTGTACCAGTACTCTTTGTTTGTGTGAAAAAGATATTAAATGCATTTGATAACGGTTTAACTAATAAATTTGGAATTCTAGGTAAATGTCAAAAAGTTGTTATTGGTCGCCATGGTAATTAATACCTTGATGTTAGTTTTATCACATCGTAATTCCATTTCATTATAATCTTAATATTTAAATGTCACAAAAACTTTTTCGCATTCAAATATTTATATTAAGTTACACATGGCATGCAACCTAATGAAAATAAACCAACCAATCTAAACAAAAAATATACCATTTTAATTTTGAACTGTTACTAGTGGTATACCTATATACACATACAAAAATACGAAAATGTGCCATAAAATTGACATCTACGTTATGAGGCAACCGGGCATATAGACTTACATAATTACGTACTAGTATATATAATCCAAGAGTTAGTCGTGTCCAAATATAAATAATTATATTACTTTAATTTCATTTCCATAAAGGGTGAAAAAGCCTCAAAATACTTTTAAATTTTTTTTATAAAATAAATATCATAAAATGCTTTCTATATATATTTTTATGCAAGAAGATGCCAAGTGTTACTCACCGGACGAAATGCAGAAGTATAACTGTGAGGTTGTGGTACTTCCCCGGATTGAACAACAGCGAAAACTGTTTCGTGGCCCAATTGGAACGGGAGTTGCCATCCGTACTATAATATTATCTAGTATAGTACTATATTTTAGTCAATTGTACTGTATAATATAGAAAAATAATATAGTACGAAATATCATATATTTTCATTGCCCGTTCAACTTTCGCACTTTTATTAATTGTGAACTAGAACATATCCACTGCGTAACGTAGGAAATTTCAGAACGAAATTAACGACGTTGATCTTTTATTTGTTACAAGTCCTAGCGACTAAACATCGACTTTCTGTCCTTTATCAACTTCTCGCTGAATGCCACAGGTTGTAAGATTGATTATTTTGTACTAAAAAATTACCATATGGAAAGCGACGATGGTTCTGTTACACCTCTAAAGCAAATAAATGAAACAAAGTTACAAATATAGAAACGAATGGGGAACTCCGACGATCAATGGTGCAATGTTTTCTTAAAAATGTTGCGTAAAATAGCCAGAAAAGTAGATAGGGTATCTATTAATTTAATTAAAAATTATAGATTAATTTCGTTTAATACTCATCAAAATGGTTCGGATTCTCATGATTATTTTAAAATTAATGGAACTTTCCTGGCCAAAGCAACAAGTAGATTAAAATAAATATTATATACAATTAATAGTAAGAAATAAATGTGTACTATTTTTTCTCTTAATTTCCTAAAATTACTATATTTTTATAGCTCAAAAAAATAACACTACTTCTTTTTTCAAAAAAATGTGGCAACCTAATTCGATCCTAAACTGCAATCTTCATTCTTCAGGAAAGACACAACGTCAGAATAAATGTAAAATATAAACCCTAAAATATTGATCTAAACTGATAAAACAGATCCGTAAAAGTGTGAGCGTGCTGTTAAAAAATAAACAAAACTTTCGTTAGGCCATAAACGGTCTGTATGGCGTGGCGAACAGCGCTCGAAATGGCAAAGAATTGGGTGCGGGATTCAAGTTAGTAACAGGTGTATTATTTTCAAACTCAACTGCGTCATAAAATATTCGTACAATATCAAAATAGGGCAAATAACTCGTTCAATCTATTTGCAAATCCCTGGGACTTTTGATTTTATACTGTTGTACTCGTATTGCATCTTATTTCATAATTTAAAATAACCGAAGAAATTAGTGTCCATTCCTCGTAGGCCGACGTTGACGTGCGTACATAAGTGAGAAATATTCGTAAATTAAATTAAACATTTATACTTTAGCTTGAAGTATACGGATATTGTCAATTTGGACTACGGAATCCCATTTGAAAATCTGACTTTCACGGATATTTATGACCTTATTTGAAATTAAAATCATTATATCGTCGAACATAACTTCGACACGTTTCACACCATATATTATCTAACAAAAACAAGATACAGTTATCTATTTCAGGGATATCCCCAAATAGCATTTATTTATAAGATTGATACAAACAATTTAACACGCAAAAAGACAAATAATAAAAATTCAAAATCGTGTTCGAATATTTTTATACTGTTCTAAACGACGCGTAAGCACTGCTAACATGGTACTCATATCTCGGTCAACTTTCTTCTTTTTCGCGCTTGCTAAGCACCCATTGGCACATACCTTCAAGGTGAATGAAACCGGTTTTTTTATAGTCGATTTGCTTCAACGCATGACAATTATTTGATATTTTGTTAAACTGTATTAATAAAAATAATGTGCGTGATAAAATGTAAAAAGCTAATGTTGTAATATGTAGCCAATGAGGTGTTTTTATTTCCACTGGTCTTAACTTTTTTGATTTATTTCAGTATAAATTGTTTATTATGATTTATTGAAGTTATTATTCTTTTGGCGGGTTTGCACATCGAACCTCAAAAAGAGACATGATGCTTGGTAACCAATTTAATCTTGGCAGCCAATAACAATTTTTCGACATTTACCAATAATTCCATGTTATTTAAATAAACCGTTATTAATTTAATTTAATGTCTTTACACTAAAGAAGTATAACTTCTTACGTACGTACGTAAGTAACCATATACTTTTTAATTATTGCTTTACTGATTTCCACCTTTTGACATTGCAAAAAGATTTGTAACTATTTAAATCAATCGATCCAGTGATCATTCACGTAAAGGATATTCTGGAGTCAGTGTTAAACGAGCTATTGATAAAAACATTACACTGGTTATTACGAGTATTCTCGGCGACGGAACTTTGTGTTTTTTAGATAACTATAATCCGGTCAAGAACATCTACAACATCTGATAGGTTGCAGATACGTTCCCGAACATTAAAAAAGTGGGTCCCCCACCAGACGATACCCGAAAGTAACTTTCACTCAACGCCGATTTTCTGTGGGGTCGTGGATCAATTTATTCAGAAGCCTGCTTCATAGCTTTGGTGGATTACTAACCGAACTAAAGAATGAAGTCTGTCTAAAATTTTGTTGGACGACTTTGTCTGTATACCACTAATTCGATTATCAAGCATCTGACTGAAACAATTTTGCGGAAGGTGAGGGTCATGACGAATTACTTAACCCCAAACATGAATAGATATGGAACCCCAAACTTGTAAATGCTGTTAATATCTATACACTTGCATACGTGTATTACACGAAGACGAAGATCCAAAATATCTGCAGCTTTAAATTATTTTGTAATTTTAATTCCGGATGCTTACATATTGATTTTCATCAATGATAAAAAACATTCAAAGGTAGGTACATAAAGTCTGCATATACATATTGCTTGTGAATTTATTTTAGTTTGGTATTGGAAAAAAAATACACGACTTTCTGTACTTCCATTTTCCGAGTATTCAGCGATGAATCGAAATAAAAACACTGACTGTGTTTTACCTGTGACTGCGGGATCAGTTTCCCTATTTTCATTATTCATAATTTTTTGCCATGTTTCTTAAAACAGTAAATCAAAATTATTTAACAATATTGGCAGCGTTCGGCAGTATTGAAAAAGGACTAGGCAATTGCAACAAATGCACTGTTCTTAATGGTAAACGGGAAATCAAATTATGTTTTTAAATTGCCCCAGTATCTACGAAATTCCACGCGAAGGCGGCAAAAGCTACATTGGAGAAACTGGACACGTCTTCAATACTAGGCATAATTTTGGGAGCACATTCGCAGTGTAGGTACCCAAAATTAGAAGCAACACCTTGGTAGTAGCGGAGCACGCCCTCAACTGCGACACATTACATTATATTAGGTTCGATAAGGTCAAAGTGTAGGCCTGCGGAAAGAACTTCGTGTCGCGCAAGCTCTTGGCAAACATCGAAATCAATCGCCGTCCCAACGTTAATGGAGACAAAAGATGGGGCAGGGCGCATTCTTGGAAACCCGTGTTGTTGAAAGCGACGCGAAATAAGAACGCTGTTCAGCACTATCGTTCTTGTTTCAAGAACGATAGTATTCAGCACTAGCGTTCTTACTGAAGTCAATCAAGATCCGATCACGCCTTATTCGTTATCATCCCCAACACACCCTGCCTTGGCAACCTGCAAACTCATCCCACACACCGTGAAAAAGGATCCCCTATACGTCCGAAACTAGTCAATGAAAACACCAAATGGTAGACTTCACATATCTTCGAAATATTTTTTTTGTTATGCTGACGTGTGTCAGTGGTGATCACTAGCTGAGCACGTGATCATCACTTGAAATTAACAATTTCGTTGCTGACCCTTGGATTTGAACTCACGTTGCGATTATAATGAATTACTATTTTTATTGACGAAAAACAAAACCGACTTCTACTCTCTTATAATTGATTTTCAGGAGTTCCCTAAGTATCTCCGGAGCCAAAGACCAATGAAATTAATATGGGACCACAGTGGAAGTACCAGCTTTCAAATAAATAAAGAATCATCAAAATCCGTTGTCACTCAGTCGAAAGTTCTGAGGTAACAAACAAAAAAAAATACAGTCGAATTGAAAACCGCCTCCTTTTTTGAAGTCGGTTGAAGGTCATTATGGTAATGTGTGTAATGTATTTTCAACCGACTTACCAACCGTATAATTAATTATGGTCGAATTTCGACCACTGAGCAACCACTAGTAAAATGAAATCGCTCACGTTTCTAAATCTAAACGGGTTTTCTCTTAACGATCGATGACTTTCAATTCTCATTTCTCAGACTGATTCGTTAATACGTTTCATTCTGTTGAAAATACTCCTTGATTATCACTTTGATAAACTAAATAAAATGAAAAAAGTAATAAAAAATCATCTCGTGATTCTCGCAAGATACACAATGGACACCAAAAAGATTTTTGTTAATATTAAATTACTTACTTCAACAATCACTCCGTTTAAGGCCGCAGGCTGGCGATAATGAAATTGTGATTAGTGATGCCGAAAGTTAAAAAATATATCGATATATTGATATTTATAATAATATCTATATAAGTGAAAATATCGATATTTTCTGTTAAGGTCCCATTTTCAACAAAAAAAAAACAGGTCTGTCACGTATTAAATATTTGACATTTACAGACTCCGTGCCGGATTCGTGCCAGATATAATTTCGATATTGAATATTTTGTATCGATATATCGGATCAAAATATATTGGCTGAAAATATCGATATATCGATATTTTATCGGCATCCCTAATTGTGATAACTTCTAAGGCACAATCAATATTTATGTAAGTATTCAATTTAAACATTGCTAAAGGGCATAATTTTTTAGTCCAGATATAAGGTTTAGGGAAAATAATACGATCAACAATTATTTTAAAATTAAAGGGTACTTAATTTATTCATTTGGAATTTTATATAGATCAATTTCCATCTTTGTGTCGGAAACACTTTAAATTAATACCAACATGACTTAACTCACGTTTATAAATTTAGATTACAAATTTCCACCCCAATGAGTCATTTTTAATTGTATTTCCATTGATTCATTTTTTTTAAAAGCTCCCAAATTTAAAGAAAGAATTTGCACTGCACATCACAAAATTCGAGAGTCAAAGAGTATCGGTTTCACCGCATCGATGGAGTTTAAAAGCGCAGAAACAAAAAGTTAATCACACACGGGTTAAGAATCGATTTTTCATAAAACCATCGGTTATGGGATTGATTTTTCACTACTCTAATCTAAAGCCAGCGAACGGAATGAGCCAGGAAGGTCCCGTACTTGGTTCGTCCGTTCGTCTTGACAGTTTGACGGTCTCAGCGCTTCTTCGACGGCCCAATTCTTATCGTTCTCGAGGAACCAATCCCTGAAACCAAAAAAATACATTAAGATGGAACCAGAATATCCAGAAGAATTCTTTTCAACTGTAATTCTTTCCGTTGCATGAATAGGCAACCTCGTCTGGTCAACGTGGAGGGGAAATTTTATACTTTCGCGTTTCTTCTGATGACTAAGGTAAACAGGGCCCACTTTTTTAGGGTTCCGTGCCCAAAGGGTAAAACGGGACCCTATTACTAAGATTCCGCTGTCTGTCTACCTGTCCGTCTGTCACCAGGCTGTATTTCATGAACCGTGATAGTTAGACAGTTGAAATTTTCACAAATGATGTATTTCTATTGCCGGTATAACGGCAAATACTAAAAAAAAGAATAAAAAATATTTAAGTGCGGCTCCGATACAACATACTCGAAAACTTGATAATTGACGAACTGTCCTTAATCTTAACCAGAATTATCGAACTGACTCTGAACCAACTCTATTTGATGGATATGGCACTTGTATATATTGAACTGACGGGTGAATAGTGTTCTAGTGTACTTTGAATCAGACGTATAATAAAACGCAGGGAGTTTGGTTATTGAAGTGTTTGGTGTTCTGAGTACAAACTATATCTATATATATATTAATTGGTTTTTCGTGTTTGTTATGTAGCTAAAATGTTATAAAAATTATCAAACATAACTATGTAAAAAATTAAGAAAATAATTGAGCGATAATTTGTAAGGTCCGATTTTTTATGTGATGTGTGTGTGTTGATTTTAATTTGATTTTTCCTGCTAAAGATAGGTTTTACTTCATAATATAATTTGTTGAATTCATATTTAAGGGTTATGAAGGATCATTATTAACGAAATGGCTCAAGTACAAAATTAAAATAGCTAAGATACCCTCACGGTCAGTGTACCGAATAATCGCATCGTAATTTCATGTGCATTAGTCATTTCTTTAATATAACCTACGCAGTTTAAAGTTTATAAATTATTTTTACTATAAAAGTATATTTTTAAGTACCTACAGTAACATTTTCGGAAACACACATTCATTAATTTTTATCTAGCTGTAACCGACCTTGAATAGTAAACCCACGTGGAGGTAATAATCATTTAATATAATAATAAAATAATATTTATTTCTTGATTTTACGCGAATGTTATATATATTAAATGAAACTAACGTGATAAAACCCGAAAACTAGTTTAAGTTAATATATTAAAAAAAACGTTTAATATAAATCAAAAAATATCACCTACACTCGTAAAAGTATACAAAAAAAACTAAATTCTGAGAGAAGCCTTCGAGATATTGGACTTTCTTTTCCTTAGATCTGGGCGTATAATGTTCTATTACTGAACGCAAATAATTTCAAAAAGCTTATGTACAATGAATGTTTTAAAATTCATCTTATTCAAACTTGAGTTTGCTCAATCTTTGTGATTTAAGATTTAAGCCCTATTCTCCGCTAAGGAAAATGGAGGACGTCACGATAAATATAAAAGTAGGATTATAGAATTAGAGGATAAAGTTCAAATTTAACTGAGGGTTAAACAGGTTGTTGTGTAGGAAGATTGTCAGGTTAACATAATGGTTACATATTTCTAGTTTTAATATCGATATTTTTTTTTTTACTTCAAGTTTTAAGTTTCATCTTGAGTGCATGGACTAGCACTAAAAATATAATTTACCTTAGATCAGCGTTATAAACCTTACAATAATTAATTTAAATATAAAGATTGATCAAAAGACAGTATTATTGTGCAAGTCGATAACTGTGGTTGCTACGACATGGGAAGTAGTTGCAATCGCAACAATTTCTCAGCCAGAACTTCATAGTTTTGCCCAAGTTACACTAAGAAGATTAAAATCGCAGGGAGCACAAGTGTACTCGTACATTGAATTATGTTACTGCTTACATTTTCCAGGGGTTCGCAAAGACAAAAGAAAAATATTGTACTTGATTCAAGTATTTATGCAAGACAAAATCTGATAACCAGTTCAAAAACAATTCAGTTATCATTATTTTTTTAAACAATTATCATAATTTCTATAGATAATACACAAACATTCGACAATATTGGTAGCAATAATAGTAGACGCACTCGTCAGTTTAGAGCTTACACTATCCAGTGATAACGTGAAGTTAGTCCCTTTGCAACCAACTTAATCATGTGGCTGTTGGTGTGCAAAAAGTGTCGGTTTCCAAGCGCGTCAAAAGAAGTATTACTTCAAAAACATTATAGAAATTACATTAATAAAACAAAGCATTGACCTCACTAAGTCAATAAAATATTTTTGAAGTTCACAGAAACAAATTCTATAAATAAAAATTGGGCTATTTTGATTAGAATTTGTAAATAAATTATCGAAAAATGTTTCGCCATTGCCTGGTTACAATCTGTGCCTTCCGGGTAAAGCGCCCAGACGCTCTAACCGCTAAGCGGTCAGGATATTGAAAAATCTCGACGTCTTTACTTTGTTTTTATTAAATTTTTTTGACAATGCTTAGCACTATTTTAAGCCAATCAAACTGGCATCAAGAGATCATTTTTTTTGTGAAAATTATTCAATACTAATAGATCCAAGGGAACCACCCTGAGAATAGATCTCCTAAACCTAGATTTTTATCTCAGAAGTAAGTAAGAAAACCTACAACATCTGTGAGCTTTTAGATTCGTCAAGTAGGCGAAACGTAGGCCCCAATTACCTTTGGAAGTATTATGCTGCAATCTCACCAGACAGTACAACTTCCATTTAAAGCCAGTCTAGTACTTTTCCACACGAACCAGCCCATTCGTCAACAGCACATGCTGGTCCTGCCACACAAAATTGACTGAAGAAGAGAAGTATCCTTAGAAGTATCCTTACCTTTTAGCTTCAATCCTCTTAATCCAGTACCGCTTAATCTGGTCCACTGTGCCGGCCTTACCGCCGTATTCCTCTGGCAGCAAGTCTTGTGGCACGTCCTTATATAGTGTGGTCGAATTTGGCTCGTGGAATTTTACCTGCACGTGAGAGATTTATATGTATCTCATATGTAGCTATGTACGAAAATTTCTTTGAATTAAACGACAATCGATATGTGGCTCCGCAATATGGCTATATTTAAATATTGCCTATTATGTATATTATCTATGATAATATGAATTTTTTTTATCAAAGTTTGCAGTTTACACCGATTTTTAGTTATTGACTATTTGTTAGGTGATGTATTTCTATCGACTAAATAACTTGTAATTGATTGGCGGTTTGTAAAAATTACACAAATTTGAAATAAGTTAAACTTTAAAAGACTTCTCTATAGTTAAGTATAGAGAACCATAATTGTTGGTAAACACTTAATACAAGTATGATTAAGTAAAGGAGCTTTTAAACGATAAGGGGATTGCAATAACTGAAATAGGTTTCAAGTAATAGGAGTATTATAACATAATACTCAATATTTTATTAAATTTTCGTGAATTGTGTATTAGAACGTGAATGTATTTTACATTCACGTTCTAATACAATCAAACAATGACAATTAACTGACGGTAACTTGTACGTTTTGATGTTATTAGTGACCATAGTTTAGAAATAATTGTATCAATGAATACATTATCTACTTTGATTTTCGTGAACAAAGTTAATTATACAAATCTATGATCTAAAGGCCTGCATCTGCATGCTAAACAAACTAGCTTGAAAAGTCCATCAAACATAAGAACGTAAACTAATCCGATCCGGTGTCCTATAAATTGCCTCATTTCGTACCATACTGCTGGGTCGATATCGCGCGGATTGGTTATGTGCTGGCCGTGAGCCAAAACGTAAATCGACCCACACTCCCCACGAGTGCGCAGATAAAGTTGTAACGACAGACATCGTTCAGTTTTTCACTACCACCGAAACTTTGCCGTGACTCGGTTCGCGAGATGAACGGCGCGGTCTGTCCGTAGTAATTGCCAGTTTCCGAAGCAATAAGCGTCCAGAGCCGAAATCGCGCCAATAGAGATTTAAAACGCTGCTCACGCTTGGCTAAACTGTGTAACTGTAAAACAATCCCCCGTGCTAAGAGTTTGCTCATGGAAGATCTCAGTCGAATGTCTACTTAGAGCTAATTTGAATATATCTCGCTGAAAATTAAAATGTCGCTCAATCATTCATTGTCTTACCAATTTAGCGACCTCTGACTTGAGGAATGGTTTGCATAGGGCATATATCTTGCTTATATACGCTGGTGCGTTGATCACATGCACTTGCTTCAACCTGATCGGGATCGCCTCCTGGATGGAATGAAATGAATATATAACTCAGAACTCATTTAACTGTACTGCATTTAATATTGTGCCAGTTCTAACCCACGTCTTTTCCCGCATCGACTTAAAATATTTATTAAAAGTCATCACAAATTCAAAATATGCTAAGCATAATTTTCAAGACGTAAATTTCTACATTCCAATATTCATTGAAATCCGTCCAGCTGTTGCGGCGTGAAGTAAAAACGAACACGCACAGAAACTTTCGCATCTACAATATTGCTATTATACACAATAATTACTTAAGTACCAGCAACAAAGACTTTTTACTTTATGCCCATGAGCCAAGAACACTGTCTGCTTCCTTTATACTTAACCTTTGGAGTGAGTAAAGAATAAGAAATTGTATTCTAGTAACAATGGCAGCGATTAAAGCTGGTACGGGAACGTTCTGAGTTCAATTTCAGTCAGTTCTGACCGCAGAGACGGCTCAATGGCTTGGAATGGTCACCTTGCCAACTATCACTGAGCGCCATGTTGATTGTCTCCACAAGGAATAGAATTTAATTAGCGAAGTTCGGGCGATTGATGAGATACGAAAATTATTTCCCAACCACAATAGGTTGGGAAATTTTACTGTAGGGGCGTTTCTAAAAATGTGATTCAATATTGTACAAGTACATAAGGAAAATTAAACTTAAGAAGTATTGATATATTATACTCAATGTTAGCTGGATGTTAATGTCTTTGATTATGTCCCTAAATTTTTTAATATATATTTTTTAATAATTACAGTCATGTTCTATTTAACTGATGGGCAATCATACAGGAATAATTCCTGTAGTTTTAATCCACATAGAATGGTAATTAATATATATATATTATAGTAATATTTAATAATTCTATCGGTATACTGAAATAAATTTATAAAACAGATACAGTGCTTTCAAACAAAACCGGCCAAGTGCAAGTCGCACTCACGCACGAACGGTTCCGTACCATCACCAATAAAAACGACAAAAAAAACATCTCTGTTGTATGAGAGCCCTGATGTAACAGTACCTGATATAACAGCCTCTGTTGTTTAGTATTTGTTGTTATAGCGGCAACAGAAATACATCATCTGTGAAAATTTCAACTGCCTAACTATCACGGTTTATGAGATACAGCCTGCTGACAGACGGACGGTCAGACAGACAGACAGACAGCGGAGTCTTAGTAGTAGTCCCGTTTCACCCTTTAGGTACGAAACCCAAAAACCTTTGTTAATGACAAACCTGCGTATACAGCATGTACTTCCTCAGCGTCGACAGGTTGACCTTGCCGATGAACTTGAGACTGACGTTTGCGGAGTCGAATATCGGTATCTCCCCGGACGGTATCTCGTCCTCCTCCGTCAGCCTGGTGTCGGCGAGCATGAAGAACGTCTTAACAGCATCCACAAAGTTGAACAGATCCAGCTCTGGGTTGTTCAAGCGGTAGATGAACACTTTGTAGTTCTCCTTCGTCTTGTTGGGGAGGGGCAACATGTCTCTGGAATTCGAAAGCTGCCGATCAACAAAGCACGTCGGTTTAACGTGTTAAACCCACGTGTCTCGCTACTAATATGATTGCGTTATTTTGTAAATCTGTTTGACCTTTCGTTCTCGTAAGTTGGATATTGTGTTGTTGAATAAAACCATTTTATGGAACTCATCGCGCTCCTTAACTAAATTATTGAAATGATCGCTATGAAATATTTTTGTTTAACAATATTAAAGTACTCGCGGTACGAAAAAATTCCTTACTAACATGAAATTTTTACAAAATCCATTACAAACGTGGCATTTTCGATAGCACTTAAAATAGTATTACTGAAACAGGTGCATTGTTTGTTCCATCTAGATAATTACTGTACCTCAAAATACATGCCAGTATCGTGTGGAACCAAACTGTATGTTTCCAAAAACCGCATCTATAATGTTGACAACAAAAGCGCGCGCTAATGCTGTCTTAATTAGTGAAGTGTGGAAATCTTTTTACGAGCGACATTAAAGTATCATGAAAGGAACTGATGACGACTTGCAAGTAGATCTAATAGTTTGCGAATATCTCTTATTTATAGCAAGATATTGAGAAATTGATAATGCTGAAACGACAACTAAAGATCCTTTAACCATTTATTTTAAGCATAAATAAATGGGTGTTTTTAAAACTATTTATTGTATGAAACTTATACATATTACATAGAAGATCAAATTTCGCAAATCGCAAGCAATCAGACCGAAGCTGGTTTTATGTTGAAATTTTTCCATTTTATTCTATTTTATAGATCAACTTACAACTAAAATAAAAATGAATATTGTATTTAAAGTCCGTTAAGTCTCTTTAAAAATTAGGAACATAGGTAATACACACATACTGATAAGGAAGAAAATTTGGTGTAATTACACTTTTTTGCCCGAGATACTTAGAATATCGATGTGTTGGAATAAAACTAACATGTAAAACATGTAAAAATAACAATGTTTATGCAACGTTGAGGACTGGGTTCAATGACCTTAATGTACCAAACACTAAGATCATTGAACCCAGTCCTCATCGTTGGTTAACACATGAAATATCATGTCATTAGCCGCTTCTACTGTGTTAAAACATTTTTCATGTTAAAGATAGGATTTAAAACAGGTTGTTGAAAAAAGATTAACATTAATATTGGTTAAAGCATTGTATTTGAGATTTTAGGGCTTATCATTTTTGTTTTTTGACGTTGAATATCTATTAATAAAGTCAAAAATGCATATTGAACTTTAAAATAATTTTAAAATAACCTTACTCTTAATATTATTTCTCACTTTTTTAAGAATTAAAAAAAAAATTAAGATCCATTGCGCAGTTTTAAAGATCTAATCATACATAGGGACAGACAGATAGAGGGATGAATTTGTTTCATAATATGTAGTGATGATGAAGTATACATTATTATTGTAACAATAATATCGCCCAATAAACATTTAATTGGAAGAGCAGTATATACATATAGATACATATACACTCACGTTATCTCAAACACGCGTCTGATCTCCGGCGACCAGGGATCACGTTTGCAGAACAGCTCCGGGGCAGTGGAGCGAATGGTGAAGAAGAAATCTATCGTACGCTTGGCGCGCTCCAAACTGTAGCCGCAGCTAGTGAAGAATCGTCGTAGAAGAACATCCTCTGGTGATGAAAAGAAGAAGAAACAAACATTAATCTCTAACAGTGCTCATGGTTAAAGTAATTTGCAATATTTTTTTTAAATACAAAACTGGCCAGCACTTCACTGCCATCCCACCTGATGGTAATAGGCGATGCAGCTTTTTATGGTAAGCTAAGTAAAAACATATAATTTCCTTTAATCGCATTTTTCGATTGTTATTATGCTTCCATGTGATTTTTTTTTCGTTTCTGTTAGAACTTCAGAATAAAAAGTATGCAATGATAGTATATAACTTTCAATAGCTACATTGCGAACAAATATCAAGTCAATCCATAGACTAGTTTTCGAATTTTGTGGACGTAAGTATAAGATAAAAATTTATATATAAAAATAAAACTTAACGCGTTTACAGTTTTGAAGTTTTGCAAAGGAATCCTTTAGAAAATGTCGAACGCTAGAATTTCGAACAATACACAGTTATCTGTCTGAAAAGAAAACGGGATTATATGGGCACGTTTGGTGGAATAACCTGTCTATATACAGAACTTTAATTAAATTGTGTAACAAAATCTTATAACTCCTACCAAAAATGGACAAAAGAATACGAAAGGATGATTATCTTAAACAAGCTATGAATAACACGTTCAAATAGATTTTTGTACTATTATTGTTCATCTGTATTTGAATTTTTACTTATGAAATAACTATATTTTATAAGTGATTAGTCGTTACTTTCCAACCGTTAATTAATTAGGCATGTAAAGACCCTTCTCCAGAAAAAAAAACAAAATACCCTTTTTTTTTTTCTAAAAAAACATAAAATCAATTTACGTTCCGCTTAAATACGCCGTCGTTACTATTTTTCAGTTTCAGTTAGTTAAGCACATTATACGTGCCCCGGTTAACGATGACGGCAGGACGTAAAACTCATCCTGTCCTGGTAATATGGATTCTGCAAAGTCTGTTAAGAAATTAAAATTAAAATTGGAAATAAAAAATAACTTATCGAGCAAAATTTTGTTTTTTATTTAACAAGAATTTTTACAATAACTGCTCGATCGTGTCGATATCGATTAGCATCACGTCGAATTAAAGCGAGGTAATCTCATTTAGGAACAATCTGCACAAACACACGTTATAACAATTATATAGGTACCGTGTGTGTGTGCTGCATAAATTTTAATTAAATTTACCCAATCACGATTTAAGTGGTGGTTCTTGTTGTTATGTACAGTACTAATGTACAACGGTATTTAATAGTCCACATTGCATTATCCAGTTGTGAAACATGTTTGTTTTTTGTGCTCCACGTTGGGCAACTTGCCGAGATGTGAGGTAACATTAAGGCGTTTAAAGGAAATTTGCTTACGTTTTCGAAACTATTCGCGGCCATGTCTTAATGGGCGCTCTCAGGCGACGCTTATTATCGTCGTTACTGCAATCGACTGCGTTAACGTCTTAGCCATTTCTTATCGTAACACCGCCTGTAGAGTTTTGTATGTCGTTAGGAATCGCTCAACTGTTCAGTTGGGTCGAAATGAAATGAGCACAGAAGTTGCTATCGTCACGCAGTGAAGATGCCGCGAGCTGGTAGATGTATTTACCAACTTGGAATGCACCAGATTCCGGTAACGACCAGACGTTATGCAAAAGTATAATGTTTCCACTCTACACCGGACTTCTATAAATTTAAGGTTTTTTTTTTTGTTTTTTTTTTATGTGAGAAAGTGGCAAACGAGCTGGCGGTTCACCTGATGTTAAGTGATAGCCGCTGTCCATGGAAATTTGCAACACCCTTAGAGTTAAAAATGCGTTGCCACATTTAAATAAAGTGGGCCCTGGCTACCTCACTCACCAGACGGTACTTCCCCGTCCGAGCATATTCGCCATACAAGAATTTTGACAGGACTTTGTCCATCACCGCATCAGGCCATAGATGTTCGCGACACGAGATGATTCGCAAAAGTGTTGTCGGCCTTTTAGGATGATAAGGGAAAAGGACCCCTTCATAAACGTCTCTCAATTTTACATCATTATTACTCCGGAAATACGATATTGCCACTAGTACCGCCACCGTGTGTGGCAGAAAATATCTCGAAAGCACCAACAGTCTAATTTGTATAATTAACTTTAGTTGTAATTAACTTGGTTTAATATATGTGATACAGTTTTATAAAACGGTCTTATGCTATAAGCACCTCCATTATTTACACAAAAAATAAACGTGTAATTATCACTTATCTACATTCAATTATAATCACGAAACAGTCTGTTGCACGAATAGTCAGTTCCGTCCACGCAAGTACCATGACCTCACAGAAGAGATGTGGAAGTATTACACTTCTCGTTTCGTCTGGTAAGTGAGGTAACAGGAGCCCACTTTATTGAAAGGTGGCAAAGTTAATAAACACAGTTGCAACATTAATCAACACAATTATCTCAGTAATCAACACAGCCATAATTAACTTCAGGCTGTAGAAATACTGTTGACAGAAACTTCAAACAAAAAATGATCAAAAACATAAAAAATCACGAAGAAAAAACTGGAGAATACTTATGAAGCATACTGTAGAATCAATAAAATCTGTCAACGTCAGGTATTGATTTAAAGAAATTTAATTAAAGATACGATGAGTGTGACTAAAGCAAAATATTCAGCTAATAAAAAATAATGCCACAAATAGTCATCCACAACTGAGATAATTATTATCTACAGCTACATCGTTGAAGTTGTCACTTCATAAAACACCAATAGCTGCTACTATAATATAAATTAACAAGGTTTATAAGAACCCGAGGACATCTCTCAAGGGTTGAAGACGATTTACAAGCTTGTCAAATGCACGCTCGTTTCCACTCACTTGATGATTTAAGAAAAGAAAAGGCCATTACGTCAAAATCTAATTTTCATATGACCTCTCATCGTGGTCAAATTCCAGCGGCCTGACAAGTGCGAGTCGGACTCACGCACGAAGGGTTCCGTACCATTATCTATAATAACGGTAAAAACCATGTCTGTTGAATGGCCCCCCTTAAATATTTTTATCTGTTTTTTTGTATTTGTTGTTATAGCGGCGACAGAAATATACATCACCTGTGACAACTGTCTAACTAACACGGTTCATGCGATACAGCTTGATGACAGACGGACAGACAGACAGATAGACAGCGAAATCTTAGTAATAGAGTCGCGTTTTACCCTTTGGGTACGGAACCCTAAAATTGAATACAACCTAATATTGTACCTTAGTGTGTAGCGTAAGCCCTTATAATAAATCCTGCATTGGCTTAAAGCCGCTTTCTGTTTGTGACTAGTTGCTAACATTCGTACGTAAAATGTCAACATCACCGCACACTTTATTTGTATTTGGCGAATGTTTTTAATTTTAAATTTTAATTATTCAAGAACATTAATCATTTTTTTTCTTTTCCTCTCTTATGTTTGATAGAAAAACAAACAGGTATTTTTTGTTTTTGAACGCAGAGTAATTTATTTTAAATATATCATAAAAACCATTTTAGCACGTTAATGTTAATAACAAGCCACTAATTTTGTCTATTTTGTGAGGAAAATTAAAAATATTCATATGTATTTACTGACCGTAAAACAGTTGGTTTTTTTATATACATGCGTCATTGGCAGTAAAGGCGAATTAGACAGGTGTCAAGTCAGATGACAGATGATTTATTTATCTATATATTAATACGTGAAGAAAAAACTTTGTACCCCTTTTTACGAAAATTGCACGGACGGAGGAGTTTGAAATTTCCCACATTTATAGTTTATATAGAGAAGGGGTCCAGAATGCTAATATATTTTTAAATTATGCATAAAAAATACATTAAATCAATAAAAGAAACATTATATACAATACCATGTTTAATTAATTATGTTCCAATTTCGACCATTAGGCGACCATTCGTTTTAATAATAACATTAATAATGATTTTTAACAAAAAAAAACCCGACTTCAATCAGAAAATTAAAAACCCTGTAATACATAAGTATAAGATTCAATGATTGCCTTCGATTTCTCTGCGATGTCATCGTCAGATCCGGGTTTCCTTACCATGGTACCACCCTTGGGATATCTCCTTTCCGACAAAAAGAATCATCAAAATCAGCTCATAAACGACGAAGTTATCCGCGAACACACATAAAAAAAATAAAAATATGTACGGTCGAATTGAGAAACCTCCTCCTTTTTTGAAGTCGGTTAAAAATAGGATATTATAATTCAAATAGTATAAAATAACATTGAATAAAGAACAATATTTTCCATATTCATCAACAAAACAATAGGTAACTGATATTCACTATACAGCGTGTCGTTACCATCGCGACAATAAATGAACACACGTCTAACGGTACTTGCCAATAATCATAAAAAAATATTAACGTTAAACAAAATCCATAATTAAAAAAAAATATTTTTCAAACAAACTAATTAAGTAAAAAGGAAACAAAATTTGTAACATCCTATACAACTCGCGCCACAGCGGCGTATTACAAGCCTCTCCTTCTAACAGTATGTTTTGTCTGTTTTAAATTCATTCAACCCATTCATATGCTTTGTGACCTTAACAAATGAACTTTACGTTACGCTTTTATAGGTAAGGGTGTTCTAAAATTCTTTGTTTTGGAAAATTTAATAACTCTGTAAATATTGATGTTTAATAACTCTGTAAATATTGATGTTTAAAGAATTTAAATGTTTAACACAACTTTAAAAAGTTATCCCCTATATGTGTGTTCATTTATTGTCGCGATGGTAACGACACGCTGTATAATGAATAATAAATATATAATGAAATATAGCCATAAACGGTTCATTTATTCAATTAATAAATACTCAGTTTTTATTATATATACTAATTATTTAATTGTGCTTTAAATATATTCCTCGCAATAATACTTATTATAGAATCAAAATTTATAAAAAGTTAGATAATAGTAACTAACTAGTAAAAAGGCAATATTTTTTTCATCGTTTTATTAATTAATACTATCCCCGTCAAT